GCTTTGAAATGAGATTTTATTGATAATCATGCGATTTTGGATCCTTTTATATTCTAATCTTTCCATTTAAGTTTAATCGAGATTTGTAATACGTCAATCACAATGGACACAATGGACACAATGGACAATGCAGTGAACACAATGGAAAACTGTCCATTGTCGATTGTTATATCAATGGATATGTCCATTGCCAACACTGATTAAGTCATTATATGCTAATCATGGGTATGTATTTCATAAACCAACAATGGAGAAGCCTACATACATTTAAATGAAATATAATTTTGTTCAAATAATGGATATGAAAGTAACTTAATCTTTCTCGCAATTTTAGAATTATGACTTTAATAAATTTAGTTAATCATCTCAACTAAAAAGTCATATGAATAATATTTGATTGGCTGTTTAAAGGTTTATAACAAGTGTATCTACAAAAAAGTTGATGTAAATTTCATTTTACTTGAATTTGTATCAAATATTGGATTAAACAAGAATTTAGTAATAATCTAATATATGTTGCAGATATAATATATGATATTCATTGTTTGAGTTGCCGATATGACCCGTGATATTTTATCGATTGTTACACGATATTGGCACATATAATAATGCCACCACTTGAAACATTTCCAAATTTAACTTTCGTTTGCGTAAAGAGTTTTTCAAATTTTTTTAACAAACATTGTGTGTTGTCACAATAAAATATTAAACAAAGTATGTTATTCGTTATGTAGCTTGAAATTTTAATAAATTCGTCCAAAGTGTTGTTAAACATTACATTTTTTTTAAAATGGAAAACAACAGACAACAAAACCTCTTCACTTCGTCGTTCTGCAGAGGATGATGATGAAATAATGACAATGCAAGAGTTGGAAGATGAGCATTTACTTTTGATAAAGAGCATGATTTTATTCGATGAATTATAAATTTTTTTGTTTTAGAAGGATTTGTCTAACAAGTATTGAATTTATGCGTACAATTATACATAAAAAAAAGATATCAAATCAAAACTAACTATAATATTCTAATAAAATATCTTTATGAAGATAGAATTTAGTTTATACAAACGAAGATTTTATTATTTAATGATAGAACGCGCATTGTAGACTTCCTGCTAAGTAAGTCAGGAAGAAAGTATAAACATTTGTTAAGTGTTTTCAAAAAGATAAAGTAACAATTTCGATTTTGCATTTAATTTAGAGCCACAAATATATAATAATAAAATGAAAATTTTCACTCACTTCAACTTTTGTCAAAATGTGATTAAAGTTGGCCCCGCAACCCTACTTGGGGTGTGATAGTTGAATCTTGGGCATTAGCCGTTAGTAGAGATTTTATATATTAATATACTGTATTACTAATGCTAATTAAATAAATAACATAGCTTTTATTACATTTATATTATCAAACTAATAAGTGAATAAATAATAAATAATGTATTTTACTTCTATATTCATATTTCAAACATTTTTCATTTAAAAACTGAGAACGATGATGGCGATATTTTTAGGGACGATCAGAATCATCAAAAATTAGCTATGGTCAACTACTGATCCGAAAAAAGATTCGTCCTTGATTGACGTATTTGCACTTTAGGCACGGTCATTTGATGAAAGTTGCATATGGGACTTTTTGACCATAATGTTATAGACCAGTAATTGGTAAAGTTACATAAGGGCTTCTTGGCTTAAACTAGTTTTAACTACCGGGACGCCTAGTATAAAATTTATGTTTTTTTGGATTCGGTGGTCCGGTGACTCCTATAGACTCCTAGCATAAATTTTATGCTATTTGAACACGAGTACGTGTTCTCTCTCTTTACTTTGTAGAAATACTAAAATGATTTTTATTATTTTCGTTATAAAACTTTATATTAGGAAAAAGAATTAGAAAAGTCCGATTTAAATTGGTCAAAGTTGTAGGGTCGTTGAATTAATCAATTCAGTTATATAAAATTTTATATTTACTTTTTGTTAATAATAATTTTTTTTAAAAAAAGTTTATAGGTAAATTATATGAATATTATTGAACATTTAAAAATAAATTACGGATAATATGTTAATTAAGAAATTGTTTTTATAAATTGATTGATTCTGTATAAAATAGTACATATACAAAAAAAAAGGTTTATCAAAATACTAGAATTATCAGACTTGCGGATATAACCGAAACAATTAACTTACCTTTTGTTTTAATCTCTTGCGGGGCATAATGAATAATTTATACAGTATATAGAGGCAAGCATGAAAGTAAGGCGCTTGACTGTTTGATTTTTCCTTTTGCTATGCAAAATATATTTTCCCTTACTTATTTTCGGAATATTGTAGTAGCTCTGAAATCGAAACCTAAATATGGCTCTATTTTCTTTGAGGATGTTGGAAGTTTGTTGGCTGGAGTAATCAAATTGATAGAGTAAAGGACTATGTAGGCGGGATGATAAAAATATAAATTAGATACTACATCATTTTGATTAATTTTGAAACATAAAGTAGTGTTTCAATATTTTGGAGTAAATAAATGAGGAATCTTATGCTTTTCAATGATTGATTAAAAAATGAGAAATTTTTTCGTTGAATGTAACCTTTGGTAAAATAAAACTCACTAGATGTTGTAAGCTGAAATCCTTTTATTACAAATTTATTGATTTATTTAGAGTTTGAATTTTCAAATTCTTGAACGTAATAAGTTTCATTTTCTTGTCAAATTTATAATTCTATTTGCTCATTAAAAAATTGATTACCGCAGTAACCGATCACTTTATCGCATGATTTGTACACTGTGCAATTTTCGGAAAATATTTTCCGTTAATCTAATTTTGGTCATGATAATTCCTTTTATATCCTTATTGAAACTACAAAGAAATTTTTTTTTATTTTAAAAAATAATGGAAACTCAAGTCGATAAATTAGATAAGAATTGTTCTTATTGCGGTAAACCGTTTGCCGAGAAATTATGGTGTAAAGAATGTGACCCTCGCTGTATAATTGAAGGATGGACTAGTGGAAATTCTGTAATTGATAAATTCATCAAAGATACAATTTATTATTCAAAAAATAAAGTAGTATATTCAAGAGTTCTTGAATGGGTGCCCTTTGATAGATTCACAGATATAAAAGAAATTGGTGAAGGAGGATTTGCCAAGGTGTATTCTGCAACATGGATCGATGGTAAATCGAAATTTTATGAGCAAGTTGATGGAAGTTGGAAAAAATCAGATCCTGGACCTATGGAGGTTGCTTTGAAAAGGTTAAATGGATCACGGGATATGTCAGCTAAATATTTTAGTGAGGTATATCACTTTATATTTGATATGAATTAAGAAGAATATTCTGCTAATTTGCTCTTAAATTTTTATTATAAAAACTAGCTTAAAGCACATTGGGATATTTGTCAAACAGGTAATACATTAGAATTTTATGGGATTACTAAGGATCCAGAAACCAAAGATTTTATTATGATCGTACAATTTGCACCTAAAGGAAATTTGAGAAGTTATCTTTCAAATAAATTTAATATCTTGTTATGGAAAGATAAACTTCAAACATTATTTGATTTTACTGGTGACCTTTATAATTTACATAAGTTAGGATATTGTCATAAGGATTTTCATAGTGGAAATATCTTGGAAGCAAATTATGGTGCTTATATTTCAGACTTTGGATTATGCGGACCAGCAGATAAGCAAAAATCGGATGATATAATATATGGAGTATTACCATATATCGCTCCTGAAGTTTTGAATGGAGAATTATATACTTTAGCTTCTGATATATACAGTGTTGGTGTAATTATGGCTGAATTATCATCTGGAAACTTTCCCTTTGATGATAGAAAACATGACGTATCTTTAGCCTTGGATATTTGTAATGTACTTCGTCCAGAATTCCCCGAATTTTACAAAAAATTAGCTTATAGATGTATGAATGCAAATCCAAATCAAAGACCAACGAGCGTTGAGTTGAAAAATATATTGAATTTTTGGTATGATTCTAATGAACTATATGAAGAGTACAAAGATATCAAAAAAATATGGATATTATGGAAAAGAAATAAAGGAAGCATTTGAAGAGGCAGATAAAGAGATACCAAATATTTCAATTTCACGCAAAACGAATCCTGATGCGATATATACAAGTAGAGCATTTACATTTAAAAATTTGACAAAACCTATTAATTCGTCTCTTATCACCTTTTACCTTGAAAAGGATGAGAATAATGAAGGTAATATATACTTGTCTTTTTTATTTCGATAACTAAATATTAATTTCAATGCATTTTAACAGAGTTTCAAGATTCTCAATTAATTGAATTAGGAATTTCTAGCTCATTACAATTAAGTGGTAATATGAATTATCGACATTTATTATTGCAATTTAAATAAACTAATTTTTATTATATATAATTATAGACGTCAATAATTGAAGTTTATTATATTTATTTATAATGTCAGCGTATTATGTACCGATATAATGATGTGACTTTTAATTCTTGCAATATTAGTTTTAAAAGTAATTTAAACTTGTATGTATTAGCTTTAGAAATTTCTCAATATTTTAAAAGTTGTAGAGAAGAATATTATTTAGTATTTTTTTTTTTTTTATATTAATAAATTATATAAAACTTATGTATGATGATCAAAATATGACTAAGCAACCATTTAACTTATGAACTTGCGATATCAAATTCGAGGAGACATTTCTTGATTTATTCAAAATTTTCATACCATAAAATCCATAAATCCTTCTTCTAATAGCATTTTTTTATTTTTAGTCTTGTCGAAATAAGTTGTTTTTTTGTCTGGAAAAAGAAGAAGCTTACAATCTTTTGGAATACGTAATATACATCATAACGAAAAATCATTTGATCGTGAGTCATTCATTTGCTTTTAATGGAAATTCTGATTGATTCTTTAATATTATGTAAAGTATAATTATTAGATATACAATTGTTAATAGAAATATATTTGAACGATTTATTAGGAGATATTAAAGCGAAAAGAATTTCTTAAATCGAATAATGAATACCAGAATCATTTAGAATTATTTTATTAAATATAAATTTTAGAATCAAACGTATATGGTTATTTGAATTAATAATTTAAATGAATAAATGTATGAAATAACTCTGAAACGCATTATTGATTTTACTTAAACTGAAAATAATCAATCACTTCATATTAACTGCACGATCAAGCAAACAAATTAGCCCACTTTTATTGCAAGAAGCTAATTTCTCATTTATGCTTAAAAGAGAATTTCAGTAGATTTCGTATTGCAGTTTCTGTGTCATAAGCCTGGTTACCAAAACTTGATGCGTCGCCTCCTCCGAATGCAGATACAGTCGACCATCTCTAAAGTCACACCATATATAGTCACACCCCTTTATAAGCACACTTACATTTGTCCAAGTTACTAATAAGCTTATTAACAAAAACCTCTCTTTAGTCACATCATATAGTATTTTTATAATTACATCATTTTTTTGGTCCCGAGGAGTGTGACTATATAGTGGGTTGACTGTATTCCTTTTAAACTAGAATATAAGGAACGGATCGATGGTACTTTTCGCGAAATTTTAAACATACCGGTAGTATATAACAAGTACGAATTTGAGAGATTTCATACTGCATCATTACCGGATTTAAAAAATTATATTTCTAAGACATTAAGTAATTTTTTGATTCAATCAAAATAAAATTAATTAAATTAAAATATTGTTACATAAAAAATAAAAATAATTTAAATACAAAAACAATAACGACATTATCGTGTGATTTTTTGATGTTGACTTAAAATTATGAAGAAAAGTTCATTATCATTCTCTTTCTTGTCATTTATACTAAATTCATTTAAAAATGGATGAACCACTTTTAAAAACCAGAATAAAGGTAAATATAATTTAACAATATGTTATTATTAGGCGAATT